TTACATGCTCTACTTAGAATCGTGTTAAGATCCAGCCATGCAAAAATATGATTTTTTTTGCCATTCTTGAAGTGGTCTTAAACTTTTGATCAGGACTGTATATGCCCTCCTTATGCAGTCAAAATATCTCTGACCTGTCAGGGCATGGGAAAGTGATCTCTGTATGTTTTTGTGTATCGCAGATCCTGTAGATTTTGTGGTTGAGAATGCAGTATGATAACAAGGTGAGTTTACCTTTCACAGGCATCAATGGTGTGGCTTATAAATGTCCTTACCTTACTCAAACTATGTCCTAAAAAAAAAGACATGAGCTGCTACCATGCTGCTATTTCAGTTATGATATGTTACTGTTCTAGACATTTAAACTTAAAGAATGCCTTTTCCTTCTTAAAACCAAAGAGCACTCATGAAAATTTAAAATTCACACTTTTTAAAAGTCAATCTTTAGAATTTTACAGATTAATTCAGCATTGTTTCAGCAAACATTTTTAACGCAAGACTTGGTTGTAAAACATGAACTACTATATTTAACATAGGACACTGAGAATGATTTCACGTGTCACGCTTCCTGTAAGTGGTGCAAGAATCAGTCTCGAAATTTCAGCAGCGACAAACTGTCCAACCCCCAAGATCGTACTTCCTTCCAGACAGCAACTCTGCCAGGCGGCAACAGCAATATTCAGCTTTTAATACACCCTGGAAGGACACAACCAACAGCTTGGAGTGTTCACCTGTGTACAGACACTGGTATGTAAATCTAAATTACTAAATTACTGATACAGTTTTGGGTCCAACTCACAGCTTGACAACTTTAAATTGATGATTATGTGAAATTGAGACATATCTATATCTATATCTATACACACACACACACACACACCTAAAAACTAAATGTTATGTGTAAAATGTTATTAAACAACAGAGGATACATAAATGTAAATTAGATGAAAATGGTAAAAGCAGTGTTTGAAACTGGTAAATTGTGTACCCTTCAAACCTATGGTGGATTACGAGCATTTTGAGGAACTTACCATTTTCATATTGCATAACACTAAACGTTCTTTGTTCAAATGATACTGCTTCAGACTACGTGCTCTGACAAAATAATTTCCTCTGTTCTAGCTTCAGAGACACAGTAGCCATTCTGAGGACAGCAATGACCACAGATTTTACAAGCCTCACGTTCATATGGCTGTTGCCACTGGCAGCAAGCAATGCAGTGACATCTAATCAAACTGAAGTCTTCAGCTCTGTGGTAACTGTAGAATCAGTCTCTCACAATGAGCTGACAACACATACTCAGGCATACTCAGAGAAAATACCTGCCACGAAAGACGCACAACGAAGAAGTCAAACAATGCCCTCGAATACGATCCTACCTAATACAAAGACAGCACCAGCTCCTACCAGTTCTGCATCGCCTCACTTAAACAGTACTACCATGGAATCCTTAACAGAAATACGATCTACAGTCATCAAATCTTCAATGACAGATCTAACTGGCACCCCAGCAACACCTACAAGTGTAACTCCAGTGATAATCAACTCAACTCAAAGCCAGAAGGCATTAAGCACACACGTTAGGAGGCACACAAACCCCTATCCACCTACATTTTCACCGAAGTCTACAAAACTCATCTCTACTACTAACACATTTACCACACCTGAAGAAGACAAGTCTGAAAGCATGAGTCCAGCTACAGGTGATGATGTGAAACATTCCACAGGCTTATACAAAACTCCAACATCCATCCACAATACCAGAAAAAGGAAAATACAAGAACCTTCAGAAACAAAGAAAACTAACCATGGTAAAGTAGTGGCCGGACTAATAGGTGGATCCCTGTTAGTGATGATGGTAGGATTCCTGATCATCTTTATTAAGAAACGGAAGCTTCAGAAGCAGCAGGTATCAACTACAGACTGGGCGGGTCCTTCGCCTTTTCTAGAGGGTGGAGCTAACAATGGCCAGGTAACAATGAGGCCACCTAACCGAATTTCTGTAGCCAGCTTTCTACCTGCAAGACTGTCCAAAAGATTGTCCTTGCTTCCGGAAACAGATGAGGAGTTAGAAGACATGACTCAAGTTACTACATTTGGAGATAAAAACCAGGGGACCACATTTGGCCAAACAGTCGATGGAAATGATGGACCAGAAAGCAATGGGACTAATGCAGTTTTTCCTGAAATGAAAACCACAGTAGACATCGCAGAGACTGCTGAAAATGGTGTTTCGGCTGACTCTTTGCAAACTAACAACCCTGTGTCCACAAATAACTCAATCCTCCGTCAAGACCTTTCTGCAAATCAGTCAAATCAATCTGAAGTCATGGAAAATATGTCTGAACAAATGAACAATGCCCTTATGGAACCTTAAGCGAACTTGATCTCTAAACAAATCCAGCAGATGTAGGGTACCAGTTTTAACACCCTTCATTGGTTTCCTGGTTGCAGCAAAGGTAACTACAAAAACAGGAAACCATGTTGTTAGTGCATTCGGAAATAATTGAGATTGTGTGATGTTAACCATGATTTCTACAGCAAAACCTGAAGAACAACATAGTAAGGTTGAATACTTGTAGTTTTCTGTGTTAGTAAGAGTAGGAATATGCAAAATAATAATCGTACGCTACATGTAGGAGCATTTTAATAATCTTGCTGCTAACAGATAATAACATTGCACAGCAAGCAGTTTTATTTACACTGTGTCATGTAACAGTGTGAATAAATACAATAGCATGATGTGAACAGGAAGCTTCCTTTTTAACATTCATGTGAATAAGATCCGACTCATTCCAAATATCATTCAGTTCGCTTGGCCACATTAAAAGCAAGCTCTGGTACATACATGCCTATCTTAATAATATCCGTTTTGCACAGTATGGCATATGCAATAGAAAAGAAAGAAAACTAAATATCCCCCAATAAAATTTCCTGTACTTACAATTGTATGTAAAAATCTGGAAGTGCGCTATGGCTTTAGTTTCGTTTGAATGACATTCAGAACCTTTCTGCAAATGTTACTTTTTATCTTTAATTCCAAAAATAATTAAGCTTATGTAAAGCTCAGAAGCATGTTTCTCAGGCAGCCTCAGGGAGCTTGTACAACTAATATAATGCAAATTAATTGTTTTAGCTCTCTGCTCAATTTGCAGAGAATTAAATTATTTCAAAAGAAATAATTAAAAAAAAATTCAATAACCTTTTTAAATTTCTTAAAAAACTAAAATAATAGCTCCATTGTTCACAATTGGGTTGTTTCTTTACAATCACATTTGTGAAGGAAACAAAACCCCCCTCATTACTCTAATTTTCCATTTCTGTTTCTCACTTACATAGCGTGGTGTTTTTAGTCAGCAATGGACCTAGT